ATGTTTTTATTTAATGTTTATAGCATCAATAAATTGATAATCTGAAAACATATTGCAAGTCAGGTTTTCAAGTAAAATCCTAATTAACTTTTAGAACATTTTGCATAAAGTAAGGTGATATCTCTAAGTTGTCAAAGAAAAGCTTTTGCAGCTCTTTATAATTAAACATGGCATGGCACTTGTATCTATAGCTTTGTTCACCATCCAAGTTATACATGTACTCAAATTTTGTGACGTTTTTTAATATATTTTTCCCCATATTCCTAGTACAGTAATTTGTTACATTTCTCTTTCCTCTATCATTCTTAGTTTTTGTATTTAATATTTTCCAAGTGGTAAATAAAAACAATAAAATTTCACAATTATTTATAATATTTTATTTACTTGTGTATTTCATGCAACGAGGCTAAAATGTAAAAAAAAGTAATTTTTGAAGAATTTTTTTTTTAAAGTTAGACTGGTCAGTGTTGCTTCAGCCATCAATATGTTAACTTGTCATGTAGTATGTACACAAACATACTGGGAGAAGAAACAGATGTTTGGCTTAATGAAAGTACAAAATGTTTTTGCTTATCGTTTTCCAATGAGTAGTTACAATGTACAAGGTTAAATTACTTTTTTGGATGATGTTCTTTTCTGTGGAAAGACCAGGTGTTGCTTCACAATTGTTTTTTTTTTACCTCATTAATATCATTATATGTAATTTCCATTTTTGGCTTTTCGCTTGATATATTGATGTCCTGTGTGAGCATCTATTAGCAATACATGTATCAATGAGTGTCATGAGTTACTTTTAAGACCATAAAGTACAAAATAAAACTATATTACAGCTGTTAATTGTTTTGTCTTTTCTTTCCTGTTGTCAAGGTTTGGTACTGCTATGACTTACTCTTTCAGGGAGTGAACTTAGATATACAACTGTTATTACTGGTGTAGAGGGAATGTCCACTTTTATGTTGACACTAAGAAATTAAAATTGTCTTGGTCTGTAGTAGCAATGTAGTTTTTGAAAAAGTTCTTGCAATTTTAGATGAAACATGATTTGCTCCTACCAGTACTTTTATGGAAATGACCTTATATATCTTAAACAATTAAATATATATAAAAAATGTTACTTATGAAAATGGTAAATTTTTAGATTCATACAAAACAAAGTCAAGCAAAATGTGTATAAGAACATCATACAGATAGAATAAAGTCAAATTGGTAAAGACACATCATGTCCAGTGAAATCTGAAACCTGTAAAGACAGATCATACTGATTGAAATCTGTATAGACAGATCATAACGAATGAAGTCTAGTGAAATCTGTATAGACGGATCATACCGAATGAAGTCTAGTGAAATCTGTATAGACAGATCATACCGAATGAAGTCTAGTGAAATCTGTATAGACAGATCATACCGAATGAAGTCTTAGTGAAATCTGTAAAGACAGATCATACCGAATGAAGTCTAGTGAAATCTGTAAAGACAGATCATACCGAATGAAGTCTTAGTGAAATCTGTATAGACAGATCATACCGAATGAAGTCTTAGTGAAATCTGTATAGACAGATCATACCGAATGAAGTGAAGTCTAGTGAAATCTGTAAAGAGATCAGATCATAATGAATGAAATCTGGTAAAAATCCTGTATAGACAGATCATACCAAATGAAGTCTGGAGAAATCTGTATAGACAGATCATACTGAATAAAGTCTAATGAAATCTGTATAGACCGATCATACTGAATGAAGTCTTAGTGAAATCTGTATAGACAGATCATACTGAATAAAGTCTAATGAAATCTGTATAGACAGATCATACCGAATGAAGTCTAGTGAAATCTGTATAGACAGATCATAATGAATGAAATCTGGTAAAACCTGTATAGACAGATCATACCAAATAAAGTCTAATGAAATCTGTAAAGACAGATCATACCGAATGAAGTCTTAGTGAAATCTGTATAGACAGATCATACTGAATAAAGTCTAATGAAATCTGTATAGACAGATCATACCGAATGAAGTCTTAGTGAAATCTGTATAGACAGATCATACCGAATGAAGTCTAGTGAAATCTGTATAGACAGATTATAACAAATTAAATCTGGTGAAATCTGTATAGACAGATCATACCGAATGAAGTCTAGTGAATTCTGTATAGACAGATCATACCGAATGAAGTATGGTGAAATCTGTATAGACAGATCATACCGAATGAAGTCTTAGTGAAATCTGTATAGACAGATCATACCGAATGAAGTCTAGTGAAATCTGTATAGACAGATCATACCGAATGAAGTCTTAGTGAAATCTGTAAAGACAGATCATACCGAATGAAGTCTTAGTGAAATCTGTATAGACAGATCATACCGAATGAAGTCTAGTGAAATCTGTATAGACAGATCATACCGAATGAAGTCTTAGTGAAATCTGTAAGTAGACAGATCATACCGAATTGAAGTCTTAGTGAAAATCTGCTATAGACAGATCATACCGAATGAAGTCTAGTGAAATCTGTATAGACAGATCATACCGAATGAAAGTCTTAGTGAAATCTGTATAGACAGATCATACCGAATGAAGTCTAGTGAAATCTGCTATAGACAGATTATAACAAATTAAAATCTGGTGAAATCTGTATAGACAGATCATACCGAATGAAGTCTAGTGAAATCTGTATAGACAGATCATACCGAATGAAGTCTAGTGAATTCTGTATAGACAGATCATACCGAATGAAGTCTAGTGAATTCTGTATAGACAGATCATAACGCATTAAATCTGGTGAAATCTGTATAGACAGATCATACCAAATGAAGTCTGGAGAAATCTGTATAGACAGATCATACTGAATAAAGTCTAATGAAATCTGTAAAGACAGATCATACCGAATGAAGTCTTAGTGAAATCTGTATAGACAGATCATACCGAATGAAGTCTAGTGAAATCTGTATAGACAGATTATAACAAATTAAATCTGGTGAAATCTGTATAGACAGATCATACCAAATGAAGTCTGGAGAAATCTGTATAGACAGATCATACTGAATAAAGTCTAATGAAATCTGTATAGACAGATCATACCGAATGAAGTCTTAGTGAAATCTGTATAGACAGATCATACCGAATGAAGTCTAGTGAAATCTGTATAGACAGATTATAACAAATTAAATCTGGTGAAATCTGTATAGACAGATCATACCGAATGAAGTCTTAGTGAAATCTGTATAGACAGATCATACCGAATGAAGTCTAGTGAATTCTGTATAGACAGATCATAACGCATTAAATCTGGTGAAATCTGTATAGACAGATCATACCAAATGACGTCTGGTGAAATCTGTATAGACAGATCATACTGAATAAAGTCTAGTCAAATCTGTATAGACAGATCATACTGAATGAAGTATGGTGAAATCTGTATAGACAGATCATACCGAATGAAATCTAGTGAAATCTGTATAGACAGTTCATAGTAAATAAAGTGTAGTGAAATCTGTATAGACAGATTATAATGAATCAAGTATAGTGAAATCTGTATAGACAGTTCATAATGAATGCAATCTAGTGAAATCTGTATAGACAGATCATACCGAATGAAGTCTGTTGAAATCTGTATAGACAGGTCGTACCGAATGAAGTCTGTTGAAATCTGTATAGACACATTATATAGGATGAAATATAGTCAAATTAGTATAGACACATCATATCAATGTGCTCAAGTGAAATCTGTATAGACAGATCATACTGAATGAAATTTGATGAAATCTGTATAGACAGATCATACTGTATGAAATCTGTATAGACAGATCATACAGAATGAAGTCTGATGAAATCTGTATAGACAGATCATACTGTATGAAATCTGTATAGACAGATCATACTGAATGAAATCTAGTGAAATCTGTATAGACAGATCATACCGAATGAAGTCTGTTGAAATATGTACAGACAGATCATACGGAATAAAGTCTAGTGAAATCTGTATACTAAATGTATAGAGTCAGATCATACCGAATGAAGTCTGATGAAATCTGTATAGACAGATCATACTGAATGAAATCTAGTAAAATCTGTATAGACAGATCATACCGAATGAAGTCTAGTGAAATCTGTATAGACAGATCATACTGAATGAAATCTAGTGAAATCTGTATAGACAGATCATACTGAATGCATGAAGTCTAGTGAAATCTGTATAGATCACATTATATTTTAAAGGTTGAAATATAGTTCAAATTGGTATAGACACATCATGTCCAAGTGTAGTCTATTGAAATCTGTATAGACAGATCATACTGAATGAAATCTGTATAGACAGATCATACTGAATGAAATCTTGTGAAATCTGTATAGACAGATCATACTGAATGCATGAAGTCTAGTGAAATCTGTATAGACACATTATATAAAGGTTGAAATATAGTCAAATTGGTATAGACACATCATGTCAAGTGTAGTCTATTGAAATCTGTATAGACAGATCATACTGAATGAAATCTGTATAGACAGATCATACTGAATGAAATCTTGTGAAATCTGTATAGACGGATCATAACGAATGAAGTCTGTTGAAATCTGTATAGACAGATCATACTGAATGAAATCTAGTGAAATCTGTATAGACAGGTCGTACTAATGAAGTCTGTTGAAATCTGTATAGACACATTATATAGGATGAAATATAGTCAAATTGGTATAGAGACACATCAATATCAAGTGTGGTCCAGTGAAATCTGTATAGACAAAATAGCAAGAGAAAATTTGGTGGTCAGGAACCTTTTGCAGGACAATCACATGCAGTAATGCAATTTTTTTTGTTTGGTTTGGTTTAAAATATTCCTTATAAAAACCCAATTTATTTTTCATAAAAATGAAAAAGTTTCAGAAAAACATGTATTCCTTACAGTATATCTATTTACTTTCACGACATCATGCACATTTTACGACTTTCAAATCTGTATAGACGAAAACCTTGTAATTTGTATAGACTTTCGCCCTTACCGAATTTTTTAAAAAGAAATTCATTGTTTTGTTGATGGCCATTTGATGCCATCAAAGACAGATTTCACGGATCTGAAATTGCAGATGGTTAACTACCAACATGACTTCTGTTTCAAGTGGTAATTTTAGCTAGTAGCCCTTTAAACAGTGTTTAAAAGCCCCTCATTTTTTTTAAATCTCAAATTTTTAAGTTTTATAACATTGTAAGTTGGCACAGTTATTTATGATATGTTTTGTACTAACTTACCCAGGTCAAGTAGCTGTCAAATTTGTCCTGAAAAAAATGCAGGCTGACGGTAGGCCTACAAATAAGATGCTGCTTTGTGATATTTTTTCTGTCAAATGCTCATAAACTACCATAGTTCATAGGTCCAACCGACTGGGACTCTGAATATGGTTCTGCTACTGGCTTGGCTATCTAGTTGAATTACACATTTTCTCTGTGAATATTGAGTCTGCAAAATTATTAGTTGTCCTATTGCGGAGTATTGCCTGAGACAACCATTTTTTGGCCCAGACAACTAATTTTTAAAATTAGTTTACTTGCCCGATCAAGTAAAAATTTGCAAAAAGTATTCATCTACTTGTGTCAATGAATAGTGATAAAATGCAAGATATCAAATACAATAATTTTACTTATATTTATGACTGTTTCTCACTGAAGATAATTTGCAGATTTGATCAATACTTGCTTGGAGATGTTCTGCTGAAAATATTGGGACAACCAGTTTTTACTTTGGACAAACAGATTTTCTTGAATTGGTTGCCCGAATCATTGGAATGACAACAATTTTTAAACCCTAATTTCACAGACTGCTGCTCTATATTGAACTTTGTACCAAAATTTCTTAAATTTAAAATGACTCAGAGCTTTAGTCAATACAGTCACAGTCTCTTTTGTGCAAATTTCTCGGGACAAGAAAATTGTGCAGTCTGACCAGAACTGAAACCCAGGACCTTCTGAATACCATTCTGCTATGAGGGAGTAGACCTATCAACAAAGCTATTTGGCTACTGACACATACATGTAGTACATCTTCTGTATTTCAGATGTGTTTGAAGCAGTGACTAGTCAATTATTTGTGGAACTAAGACAAGTTTACAAAGATACTGGAAAAGGTTAGTGTTTACCTGAAGTAAAACAAATTGTAGTTATTTTAACATAATTATAATGCAAAAATAGCCCTTAAACTATTGGAACCAAAAGTAACTAGCAGTTTCAATGACAATAGAGCCTGAGGCCAGCCTGCATATTCATGCAGTCATACTGTCATGTTTTTTAATTTGATATATATATAAATCCCTTGAACTTTCAATGGACTGTTCTAAAGCAAATCCATGAAACAAATTCAGCAAGATATATGCACCAGTTTTAAAATATGAGAAGATAATCAAGATATTAAGAATATAGTTGAAATGTTATAAAATTCAATTTGCTTATAAGGAAAATTAGGAAAATGTTATATAAAACCTCATTCTAAGTCAAGTTTTTCATGCAATTAAAAAAACAAAAAATAACTTTTTTATTTACCATCAGAGAATTACTTTTTACAATTTTCTGGCAAAAAATGCTACTTTCTTATAATGTGACACTGTCTGGTATTAAGATTATGCTTGCATAGGTTGGTTTGATGAAAGAAATACACAACTAACCTCTTCCCAACTAGATACACGTGTTAGCTATGGAAATTGGCAAAGTTGGTAAATGATATTAACCTTTTGATATATAGAACATATTCATTTGCTATAATGTACTGTTCTTAAAGTTTTATGATAATTTTCTTTCATTTTCAGTTACAGATGAAATTTTGTCAGCGTAAGTTTTATTAAATCTATTCAGGAAGTGTTCCTTATGGTCAAATTAGTTCAAGATAAAGTTGGTACAGAAATGCGGCTTGAACTGCCTCATTAGCATAATTAGAATAAATATGTGTCCTAACTTAAATTACTCTTAGAATTTTAGTATTTTCTACAGTTACATTTCAAGTGACATATGAGTACATTTTATAATTATAACCTCAGGGAGACAAATATTTTGGTTGTTGATAAGTGGTGTTGCTCAACAGAGGTAAAAATAGTTGAAATATTTACTCTAGGAAGAAATAATATTGTTGTTGTGAAGAAGTAATTGCCCTACAGAGAGCCACTATAGAGGCTATACTGTATACTCTATTTGAAAATAGACTTTGTCCGTTAATTGATCTCATGGACTTGCAGAATGTTGCTACTATTCAGTATTGTTTTATTTTTATTTTTTTTGGTTGGGTTTTACATAGCACCAACATAGTATAGGTCATATGGCAAGTTTCCAGCTTTACTGGTGAAGGAAGAACTCTGGTGCATTATTTCTGGCACAAATGGGCACCTTAGTAGAACTACCACTTTCTCACATGAAAGAATCCGAAGACACTTAAGGTTTGGAGCCAAAAAAAACAAAAAGATATGATATGATATAATGATAATAGAAAATATTTCAGGTTGAGTAATGTGTATCAAGCTCCATTACTGCCGGCATTAGATCTGGTTGACAGTAGAAGTGTTTCTCGATTAGTTTGTCCTGCAGGTAGACAGCTGTATCAGGTAATTATGGCTGTATTTAATACTGTTATCATAGTTACTTAATCAGTCTTATTTACATAAGGAACTATACATCATAGCTGTAATTAATGTATGCTATGTCCATGTTTTGATACAACATATGCCTCCTCTTACAAATCAGGTAACTGTGTGTGTTTTGATGATTGAAGTCTAGCAATTGTAACAACCTACTGAGGTCTCCAGTATAAAATGAGGCCAGCCTATACATCCACATGTATGCAGTATGATCACATTCTATACTATAAATATTAGCAGCTGTAACAGCACATAAATATTGTAAGTTTGTAACCCCTTAAAGTAACAATGGATATTAGTAGTTCCATATTCAGAGCAAATCATATCCTTTATACAAATTTTCTTTTAAGTTTTGACAAAATACAATGTACATGATTACAGGCTATCTGTTTTAGTCAGATACCTTAGAGTGCTGAACAAGCTTCATTATTGGCGAGGGCTCATCACTCGTCAGGCTATTTGACATTTTGGGGTGCACTGGCTCCAAAATCATGTAATGATCCCCACTCATCAGTTGATTCAGCTCTTCCTTTGGCAACTTGCTGGTGTACAGACTAAGTTGATACTGCCCAGTCAGGAGCCACCTAGCTCTTCCATTGAGTCTTCCTCCACTAAATTCAACATGAGGTGACTGCTGCCTTCATGAGTTCACTATGACTTGCTCGCTCTCCTAAGAGATTTTGTGACAAATCCCCTGCAGCCCACCTTGATGGGACACCCTCAAGTCTACATCTTAATTGTTATACGCAAGAGGCTGGTACTTTAGAAGCAGCCATAAAGAATAAAATGTGGTTGTGGTTGTTTGTTCCATTTATTTTCATAAACCTTGTGTACTTATAGTGTTGAAACTGACATTAAATATTCTAATATTATGTGTATGCCAGTTCTTTTTATTTGTTTCTAATATGTGATTTTTAGCAATGAGTTTAGCCTTATGTAACCAGTTATTTATTTGTAGTATTACATGCACATGTATATAATTATATTTATGTATATTTTTAGGTGATTGGAAGTTCAGGTACACCATATACATGTTTCAAGGGAAATAACTACTGTTCCTGTCCTGCATATAGATTCTCTGTTTTAAATAAAGAGGAACTATCAATGGTAAGTATCTGTAAAGTAAGGTACAGCTTACATGTATATATTTAAGATTTATATTAACTCTTGTTGTATTGTTAATCAAGTTGAGTTTTGACAGTTGTGCACTTAACTCGAGCCTGTAATGTACCGGTAGTAAAACATCACTAATTTGCGGTAACCACAAGTGAAGCTAAAAAAAGTTATGAAGTTAAAAAAGTTAAATTTGTAGAAAGGATCATGAACTTTTCTTATTGTCATAAATGTTTATAATTTTATTATGCACATCTAATAAGATTTGATACAAGTCATATAATATTTTCAGTGTAAGCACATACTTGCAGTGAAGCTGTCAGATGCTATGGAGGTAACTAAGAAACTTGAAGTGACAGATAAAGAATTGACTGACTTGTTGATCAACTTGGAATGAAAAACTGGACTAAAGCAAATTTCATACAGGATTTTTAAGAGGAGGTTGAATGCTGCAAAATTTTTATCGTTATAAGAGTATTTTGATATGGAAGGAGTTTATAAACTGAACTGTTCACTTTTACAAAAACTGTGAGTTCAGTCACAGGTTTATAATATGATTATGATAAAGAGTAAAAACATACAACATTAAATCTGCTCATTAAATCTGCTGAGCAGTAAACCTTCAGTATCAGTATGTTTGGTTTGAAACATCTAAATTGAGCTATTGATGATGAGGGGTAATATTATTAGGTAACAGATTTCTTAGGGGGAAAAATAAACTTGTTGTCGTGTAAGTAATTGATTTGCATTGTAGAGCACAGTAATTCTAACCTAACTGTAAAATTGAATAAGATGCTAAATGTAAAGAAATTTTAATTACATAACATTTTATTTCAAATGTATTACAATATGAACTATTCCTGTAATATAATGTAGTAATGACAGGCCTGTCCAAACAGACAGGCCAATCAAGTTAATTGTTACACAGTATACGTATAAATAGGAATTCTTACACCTACCTTGTATGAAGTCAGATATATTCATTTCACATATTTTAAAATAAATGTACTTTCAGTATTTGCACCATGTGATGTTCCAGTAGAAATCATATTGGATCCAATCTTATATCAATTAAGCCTTGTTTTCATTTCCTGAGTACAAAAATCCATATCAAATCCATATTGGACCCCATCTAGTCTATTTTTCTTTCTTTTTTTAGAGAGTCCAATATCCATGTCTAATCATCTTTGTAATTGAAGTAGTAAAGTTCTTTTTAAAATGTCAAGAAATGGTGGTGTGAAATAAAGAGGTCATTTAACATTGTGGAGAACAATGCTGATTCTATTGGACTTGTACACAGCTGCAATAACCATATCAGACTTGGCTAGCGGCTCGTTCCAATATAGTATTAACAGCTGTTTACACATCCAATTGTTTAGTATTGTACTCAACAATGTATAATAACCTCATGATTTATCAATAAATCTTGATAAATCAAATGGTGCCAGGAATAATACTTCTATACTCGATGTAGTTCACTTAGCACATTATAAGTATTTAATCTAAGAATATAACTGAAATACATTGTATTGTTAAACTGACTTGGAACGTAACAATAAAATAGATAGATTACTTTTTTATGCCCCCACAATGTGGGAGCATTTAGCGTTGCACTTGTCTGTCCGAGCAAACATTTTGGGTTTAAGGGCTATGTAACAGTAAAGAGAACAAAAGAGAACAATAGGTTCTATCCGTGATCAAAGGGTTTATGGGCTAGTAGCCCTTAAGAAAACAAAGAAAATAACAAAGAAAATAGCCCCTAAACCCAAAATGTTGGAAGTCCGTCTGTCCCGAAATCTTGTGAACGCAACTCCTCTTAAACCAAATGGCAGATTTTGCTTAAACTTCCAGGGATGAACAACCTTAATTTGTAGATGGTAGTTAAGGAAGGAATTTTTGCTGCGACCAAATTTAACAGAATTATGGCCCTTTGTTGATTTTTTCACTATATACTATGTAGAAATTTTGTGAACGCAACTCCTCTAAAACCGGATGGCAGATTTCACTTAAACTTCCAGGGATGAACAACCTTAATGTGTAGATGGTAGTAAAGGAAGGAATTTTTGCTGCGACCAAATTTAACAGAATTATGGCCCTCTGTTGATTTTTTCGCTATATACTATGTAGAAATTTTGTGAACGCAACTCCTCTTAACCATGTCAGATTTTGCTTAAACTTCCAGGGATGAACAACCTTGTGAAGATGGTAGTAAAGGAAGGAATTTTTGCTGCGACCAAATTTAACAGAATTATGGCCCTCTGTTGATTTTTAGTTCTCAACTTGTTGCACATGTAGTCCAAATAAGATTGACAGAACAGTGGCGTGTGGGGGCATCCGTGTCCTATGGACACATTTCTAGTTTTATACATTTAAATACATTTAATTTTTTTACATTTAATTAATAATATCCATCAATCAATATCATTCTTGAATTAAGATGCAGTTACAGGCTTCTGAAATAATCTATGAATAGAAATGTGTAAAAAAAAAAAAAAATTATGAAAAATATTGTTAAGGTATCTCAATGAAGTATTAATCTCCCCACCGTTACATTTTATTTTTATTGTTTCATTTTGTTTGTATATGAAATATTTGTTATTTTGTCATATGAATTGAATAAAGCTGCTTTATTTCCAAATGTATTTCTTTATAAAACTAAGCTGATTCTTTATAAATCAGGTAACTTTATTAATTGGAGTTACAGAGATGGCTATAGTAACTCTGTTCACAGAGTTAGTTATTTGCTAGTTAATATCAAAAATGCATTTTCAGCAAAAAGATTTCTTGATAAGTTAAAGTATTTCGGGTGGTTTAATTACTTACTTGGATTCATGAAAGCCAAGACCAACAATTCCTTCTAAAAAGTAAGCTGAATCAAACACAAGCCAGTTTTGACCAAGTTTTAGAAAAAAAATGTATCTAGACTTTTCCAGACTTCTTAAAATTAACAATATTGTTATAGAATTTATCAATTTAATCCAGTAAGGGCTGAATAAAAAATTAACATGTTCCAGTACTTGTATATTAATTGTTCCCAGATCTTACCTTACCAATGAGAGGATTATTTAGCCTATTAACCTCAGATTGTAGTGGGATTGTTGGTCTTGATCTACCAGGGTATAATATATAACAACTATTGATTTTGACGTCAAAGGTCATTTTGACCACGATGAGCTTGGTTGGTATGACACTTGTGGAGTTTTTTGCATACATTCTATATAACTTGATGGCATTGCCTTGCATGTTTAAAAATAAGGAATAGTTTTTATATAGTAATTTTCAACCCATTATAACATTTGATTAATGTAGGGTGCTGGTGCACAAAGTTTATTTTTGAAACTTGAAAAAAGTACCTTTTTAAGGGTGATTTAGACCAAGTTTGGTAAACCATAATGGTTCATGAAAAGGGGATGTTTAAATCTAGCTTTCGTGACCATAAATGGGGCTAACTGATATTACAAATTGTAAAAGTTGCAGAAAAGTGCCACAGTTATAATTAACAAGAAATGTGGAACGACACATATGCCCCCTTTCTAGCCCTTGACTTACATTATTGGTAATTTTGTTATAGAAACTTGCCATAAATGGGTACATGGAAGTGTTCAGTTATGGAAAAAAAGAAAAATAATGACCTACTACTGTTATAACCAATCAATATGTGAAATAAAGAGCTTGACCTTTGAACTAGTGACCCCATTATGACTAATAAATACGAAGACTTTGTGATTAAAAGTTTTCAAGGTAATAAGCGGAAACCATATGCCCCTGTTACCCTGACCTTTGAACTAATGACATTAAAATCAATAGGGGTCATCTACTAGTAAGGACCAATCACTATGTGAAATATGAAGATTGTGATAAATTGCTTTCAAAATAATAAGCGGAAGCAATACTAACATTCAAGGCCCCTGTGACCTTTGGCCTAGTGACCTCAAAATCAATAGGGGTAATCTACTTATTATGACTAGTTATGACCAATTAGTTCGTGAAATATGAAGATTTTGTGATAGTTTTCAAGTTAATTAGTGGAAACCATACAATTAAGGCCCCTGTGACCTTTGAACTAGTGACACCAAAATCATTAGGGGTTATCAACTATTTATGACCAATCACTTTGTGAAATATGAAAACTTTGTGATAACTAGCTTTCAAGATAATGAGCGGAAACCATACTACCATTCAAGGCCCCTGTGACCTTTGACCTAGTGACCTCAAAATCAATAGGGGTAATCTACTAGTTATGACCAATCACTATGTGAAATATGAAGACATTGTGATAAATAGTAACCAAGATATAATGAATGGAAACCATTCTGACATTTAAGGCCCTTGTGACTTTGATCTTTAACTTTTGAGTCCAAAATCAATAGGGGTCATCTACTAGTTATGGCCAATCACTATGTGAAATATGGAGAATTTATGATGAATAGTTTTCAAGATAATCAGCAGAAATCATTTTGACATTTATTTTAAGGCCCTTGTGACCTTTGACCCCAAAATCAATAGGGGTCATCTACTAGTTATGACCAATCAGTTAGTGAAATATGAAGACTTTGTGATAGTTTTTAAGATAATCAGCGGAAACCATGTGGTATACTGACTGACAGACAGACAGACGACCGGCCTACCGATAATAGCAAAACAATATACCCCCTCTTCTTCAAAGGGGGCATAATAAATGCCAAACTTGAAGTATAGCTGAGAAAAAGGAGGAGACTTGAGTACATCATATATCACCCTGAACTTTAAAGAAGAGCTGTCTAAGGAGCAGCACACTCCACTTTCCTCAGTACTTGATAATATAAAAGCAAACTAGACAAGAGTTTGTAACAGAGTTACCAACGTCCCCCGCCTCCGGAAGTTTTATATGAAGCATAAAATTGTGCTGTTTCAAAAGATTGAGGTATGGATCTCAGGACATTCAGTCCAAAATTATGATAAATGCAAGATCTGCAAATGCAACAATAAATTTATTAAAAAAATAAAATGAAACACACAATTTAACAAGAAACATGGCAATGCCATGAAACCAGGTTTTCAATTATCACCATTGTAGATAAATATGTTGTATTTGAAATACAAATACAAGCAACAAACAATGTAACTATGTGTAAAACATGAATAATGTAGGAGGAATTGCGCACAGAAGAAGTGTTCACTATATATATTCTGTATAAGGAAAAAAAACAAATGGCCATAATTAGGTAAAAAATTATCCAATCACAAAACCCCGACAATATGTGCCAGGGCACTTGGATGACAAAGCTTCTGTGAAAGTTTGGTCAAAATCCGTTGTGAAATTTAGGAAGAGTTCAGCACAGAAGAATTTGTTCAATTTTGTATAAGGAAAAAAAACAAAGGGCCATAATTAGGTCAAATATTGTCAAATCACAAAACCCTGACAATATGCGCCAGGGCACTTGATGACAAAGCTTCTGTGAAAGTTTGGTCAAAATCCATTGAGAAATGTAGGAGAAGTTGCGCACTGTAGAAATTGTTCACTATATATTCTGTATAAGGAAAAAAAACAAAGGGCCATAATTAGGTCAAATATATACCAATCACAAAACCCCGACAATATGCGCCAGGGCACTTGATGAGCAAACTTCTCTGAAAGTTTGGTCAAAATCCGTTGAGAAATGAAGGAGTTGCGCACAGAAGAAATTGTTCACTTTATATTCTATATAAGGAAAAAAAACAAAGGGCCATAATTAGGTCAAATATTATCCAATCACAAAACCCCGACAATGTGCGCCAGGGCACTTGATGAGCAGGCTTCTCTGAAAGTTTGGTCAAAATCCGTTGAGAAATGAAGGAGGAGTTGCGCACAGAAGAAATTGTTCACTATATATTCTATATAAGGAAAAAAAACAAAGGGCCATAATTAGGTCAAATATTGTCAAATCACAAAACCCTGACAATATGCGCCAGGGCACTTGATGACAAAGCTTCTGTGAAAGTTTTGTCAAAATCCATTGAGAAATGTAGGAGAAGTTGCGCACTGTAGAAATTGTTCACTATATATTCTGTATAAGGAAAAAAAACAAAGGGCCATAATTAGGTCAAATATATACCAATCACAAAACCCCGACAATATGCGCCAGGGCACTTGATGAGCAAGCTTCTCTGAAAGTTTGGTCAAAATCCGTTGAGAAATGAAGGAGTTGCGCACAGAAGAAATTGTTCACTATATATTCTATATAAGGAAAAAAAACAAAGGGCCATAATTAGGTCAAATATTATCCAATCACAAAACCCCGACAATGTGCGCCAGGGCACTTGATGAGCAGGCTTCTATGAAAGTTTGGTCAAAATCCGTTGAGAAATGAAGGAGGAGTTGCGCACAGAAGAAATTGTTCACTATATATTCTATATAAGGAAAAAAAACAAAGGGCCATAATTAGGTCAAATATATACCAATTGCAAAACCCTGACAATATGCGCCAGGGCACTTGATGACAAAGCTTCTGAGAAAGTTTGGTCAAAATCCGTTGAGAAATGTAGGAGTTGCGCACAGAAGAAATTGTTCACTATATATTCTATATAAAGAAAAAAAACAAAGGGCCATAATTAGGTCAAATATTATCTAATCGCAAAACCCCGACAATATGCGCCAGGGCACTTGATGACAAAGCTTCTGTAAAAGTTTGGTCAAAATCCGTTGAGAAATGTAGGAGTTGCGCACAGAAGAAATTGTTTACGCCCCGCCCGCCGACATACCTCAATCTAATAACCAGTTTTTTCCTTCGAAAAACCTGGTTAAAAATCTATCATGTTAAGCTTTGACCTCTAAGTGTGACCTTGGAGGTAGGGGAGCAGGTGTTGTGCATGACGTCTTATTATTGAGACTATTTGTGCCAAGTATTTTTAAAATCCCTTGAACTCTGAAGAAGTTATAGATTGGACACAAAATATACCCTATTACAGACTGTGTAAATCTTTTACCTCTAAGTGTGACCTTGACCTTGGAGGTAGGGACACAGATGTTACCCATGACATATCATTTAATCATTGTGACTATTTGTGCCAAGTATTTTCAAAATCCCTTAATCTATGAAGAAGTTCTAGATCCGACACAAAATATACCCTATAACAGACTATGTTAATTTTTGACCTCTAAGTGTGACCTTGACCTTGGAGGTAGGGATGCAGGTGTTGCGCATGACACATCCTCTTATTATAGTGACTATTTGTGCGAAGTATTTTCAAAATCCTTTGATCTATGAAAAAGTTATGGACCGGACACAAAATATACCCTGTAACAGACTATGTAAGTATTTGACCTCCAAGTGTAACCTTGACGGTAGGTGACTGGTTTTTGCGCATGACACATCGTCTGATTATTATGAACAATTATGGAAAGTTTTTTAAAAAATCCCTTCATAAAATTAGAAAGTTTTTGGAATGGCAGGGAACATATCCCTAAAAATAGAAAAATGTTGCCCCTTAAAATGGGGCAATTCCCAACCCTTTGCCCTCCCGGGTTGGGGGTCGGGGTTGTTGCGAAAGGGCCCAAAATCGTTTTTATAAAAAAACATTTTTTCCCAATTTATTTAAAATTCCCTTTCAAAAACAAACCAAAAAGGGTTATGACCAAAACCACAAAAAGGTGTGAGGGAAACGAAATGGAACCTATTTCTATATCCCCCTTTTTTCTTCGAAAAGGCGGGGGACAAAAAGGGGGCATAATTTTTGCCTTGATATTCAACAAGTATTTCATGGTTTTGAGAAATTAAGAAAATATCAAAAGGGAGTTTATTGAACAGCAATGCCCTCTAGGATTACCTGTCCTTTAGAAATGCATTCCAATTTTTAGAGTAAACAAGTATTCAATGTTAAAAGTGAAAATATCTTTGAAAGTCTTTGAGAAATTAACCTAAACAAAAAGGTTGATCGGGCCAACAACAAAAAAAGTCAAAAAGGGGCATAACTTTGTAAAATATATATAAGGATTATTTGCCCTTTTGATATTGCATCACATGATGATAGTGAACAAGTAAACCAAGTTTAAATAAATAGCTTTAGAAGTTTCTAAGAAAATTGACCTTTACCTTCATCTATATAAAGGTCAGTGATAACCTTTATCTAATAAAGGTCCGTGACCTTAACCTCCTGACCCCAAATCGGTGACAGTAGAACTGAGATGTACTTCCACATACGAAGTTTCAACGTATTGAAGTTAATGGCCATAAACAAAATCTTAACCAAAAAGATTACCCAATGCCAACAAAAGTAGGTCATGACAATACCTCCACTATATTTCTTTGAAAAGTTGAGCTATTAAAACAGAGCTCAATCTGAACCTTCAGCTCTAGTGAGATAAACAAAGAAAAACAAAACTCTTCTCAATGAAAAAATGCTTTCATTTATTCATAAATTATCTTTATAATTACACATACAGCTACTCTGTTTCATTAAAAAATATCTAACTTAAAAAATAAATGATATAATTTCATTTTAAAATTTTTAAAACAATACAGTCAACTTTCAAACACTACTAAAATTGATGATGTTTTAAAAGAATATGAGCAATAAACTTAAATCTACTTAAAAACATAAAAATGACAATTTTATTCTCTTTAAAAAAATTGATGCACTAAGAAACATTGTTTAAGTATCACATATTAAAAAAATAAATACTCAAAAGTTTTTTTATATAGTAAATGCCCATGAAGAATATTAATGGATTATTCATATTAGAGTCTCATAACAAACAATCTCCATATGGAGAAGTTTGTTACAGTTTGCTTATATAAAAATACCCCTTCAGTTTCTTTTTTCAACAGTATATTAGCAATGGCAAAATTTCAATAATAAAATGAAATTCAACGAGTTACGCGCTAATTTTAACACAGTAACAGAAAATTGGGTGTGATTGCTGTATAATATTATAACAGATAATATTATGTTTCTGCTTTCACAACTATGTTATGTTCATAAATGGGTAAAAAATTTAAATGTCATTAAACCGATGAAGCTTTAATAGAGTGAAATATGTTTTGATAAATTGTGTTGGTTTTTGTAATTAAACACATAAAAGTTATTTATTTATGACTATAAAACAAACAATTCTGACGTCATACATTGCAATGTAACTTTTATACACGTATTTGTTGAAAAATGAACCTTTTTTTTTTATTTCAAGGAAAGCTTTAAGTTGTTTCATTAAACATGCAGTACAGCAAATATTTCCCCAGAACATTTATCAACACCTAAAGCACATTTTTGTTGGGTGGTGATTTTGTAGACACAGTCATACACATGAAACTAAAAACAATCTTACAAACATTGGATAACACCAATGTATCCCTGAGATCTTTATTGTTTTCATTCTCACTCTGCTCTTACATGTAACATGCATACACTCTACCTGTAACATGCCACACCCTGCCTGTTACATGCAACACCTTATATGTAACATGCCACACCCTACTTGTTACATGTAACACCTTGTGTTACATGCCACACCTAACATGTAACATGCCACACCATGTATGTTACATGTAACATCCTATGTGTAACATGCCACACCCTGTCTGTTACATGTAACATCCTATGTGTAACATGCCACACCCTGTCTGTTACATGCCACCCCCTAGCCGTAACATGCTACATCCAACATGTAACACCTTATAGATAACATGTAACACCTTATAGATAACATGTAACACCTTATAGATAACATGCCACAGCCAAAGTTCGAATCAAACATCTTTCATACATAGAAGTTTTACACACCAAATCATTCCGTTTTAATATCTCTGTTACAAAATAATGTGAAAAGGTGTTCTTTTGATATACAAAAATACCAAAAGCTTTTCCCTGTCACCCTATTTAAAGATTGTCCCTATTAATTATACAGAGAAAATTTGAAGCTTGTCTTATCATTAATACAGAAAACACACACAATATCTTTTTAATTGAATGATGTTATGATGTAACAACAGAAGACTTTTGCCTTAAAAAAGCGTTGCATCTTTTACACTACACAACCTAATATTTCATTTAAAACACATTTACTTTTAACAGATTTTTATGACCACATTGTGCTTTTTCACAGTAGATTTTTATACAATTTAAATATTACAATACTGCAGTAACAATGCAAGACTGAATTCTGAAAAAGTCTTACACATTATTGCTATATATAACGGTAATATCAATACAGGGGCATAATATCATAATGCCCCAAAGTAAATTTAATGTTATGGTGGGATATTCAATGTTTGTCACACAAAAAAATTTTAAACACACACACATGCACATATGTTCATTATATAAATTCATACATTAAAGGAACACTATTAAGGTCTAATGCATAAAAACATGAAATTGAAATTCTTACATAGATGAACTGTTTACGCTTTAAAAAGAAAAGAAAATGCAAAAAGATATTAAGTGTAAATTGAATTGAAAAAAAAAGTATGTGATTTGATTTAAAAAGCAGTACAACATTTCATTTTCCAGTCATTGTATGCAAGGAGGTAAGCAAAATAATCTGAAAATTTGCTCACTAGTTAATGGTCCAAACATACATCAAATGGTACATAAATCTTGATAAAATGTTTCTAGTCTTTTCTCATGTTAAAAAAAGAAAAAAAAGAAGAAAAGAAAGGTATTCTCATGTAAAAAAAGAGAGAAAAAAAAGGCAACAATCTCAATGGGTCCCTTTAACAATATCAACCAATCCCTGACCACACAAACATGACAATAAACTGCATACACACAACAGGATACACTCGGAGCATGATTCAGGTTCAGTGAGGAAGTTGCACAGCATTCAAAATAAAGATTACACTTTCATTCTTTCACTGTCATCTGTATGATAAGCGCGGCCGTTAGAAAAATCATACCTTTAAAATACATGTTATAGCTCCGTGTCCTTAATGTTACATCTTTCTTTATACATTGTGGCTACAGCAGTTAAATACTCCATTCTTCACCTTTAGATGCAGTAACAAGGTTAACTCCTTTAAACTTTAACAGGAGTTAAACCAGTTATTGCAACTAATAGGGTGACGGATATTGTACAATTTCTGCATTCAAATATTTCATTGCCAGTTTTCTAACCGATGCCCAAAGTTCTACAATTTTAAACAACTGGTTCAATATATGAACATATCTATTTTTTTTTGAGTTCTACCCCCATCCCCTTGTAATAGTCCTTTGGCAATGGATCTTTTTACAATTATCTTGTAATCATATAAATTTATTGAAAATTTTGAGATGATCAGAAATTTGTTCACATGACAGGTACCCTATCTATTCTATACCCAATGAATGTCACGCCTCTGCATCAGAGCAGAGCTTCTCTATATACAGTTGAATTATTTAAGAAACTATATCCACTATAAATAAGCGTAAACAATAACTCAAAAAAGTAATCCAAAAACATTCAACAATTAACAAATAAAGTTGAAACAGCCCAGAGTATCTTTGCAGGAGAAATTGCTTTTTTTTCTTGGTCAAAACAGCAAAGAAAGAGGTCAGAAATAATGTCTGAACTTGTCTTTACAATCAATTAAAAAAAAAATCTGGTATGTTTTCATTATACAAAATTAAGTATCTTTTTCAATATATAAAAATTCAATTCAGTTTTGTAAAATAACTAATTTACAATTTAATGTCGGGGTTAAAAGCGGGTACCTTCCTATTTTCTTTGATAAAAACAAAATTAATAAAGAATTTACTTAAAATATCTATATATCACCATTTCTATTACACTGTTATTTGTTTTTACTGTAAAAAAAAAAAAAAGTCATCATCATCTCAGCCCACATAAATTCAAAAATCTTTCTAAAAACATAGAACTTTGTTTAAAACTAACAACAGGGTTTTTCTTTTAAAAGCTAAAAATTTGCATATATAAAAATTTCAGTTCATTTAAGATCATTGTATTTTTATATGGTTTTGTATATGTGTTTTTTTTTTTTTAAATTCTCCTCAATAAAAAATTGAGATGAAGTTAATTAGGAATGGACGGATTTTCTTTGATGCTGGCGTACCCACAGGATTGGTTAGGCTCCATTTTCCTCTTCATGCCAGGCTTTGCAATGAAAGCGTTTTGTTTTTCCTTTGGCGTTCTTCCTAGTTTTTCACCTTTCATGTTGTCTTCTGTGTCGTAGCACTACGTAGCCTATACTTCATTCTATTCGTCAACTCTTGTTGCGGAGTCTTTTTCGTTCACCTCATTTCCCAGTTCACTTGCTGCATTAAATTGTTCAATTTTTTTACCAAATTTTGAATTTTTTGAGAATTTTTCAGTTTCAAGTTTCTCAGACCCTAACTTCAACGTCCAGTTGAGTAGAAGTTTCACTAATCCGTTCTACTTTGAATTGGTCCCCTTTGCGGCACTTTAACTTCGGGTTGGGGACGTTTTCACATTTTCTGAGGTATTTTTTCCCCAAGGCCTGCTGTTGCTAAACACTTCTGCGTTGCCAGACACTACCTAGCTAAATG